CACCGAGGTAGGGATCCGCACCGACTCACGAAGGATGACAACATCGGCGTCGGTCATGGTGCTGGGCTCTCCCAAAAACGGAACGTCCTCGTCGGGCCATTGTCGGGTAGGACGGTTCCAATAACCTGACCTCACAGGAACATCTCGTTCCACATCGGCATCTCCTTCAATACTACGCTTGCGAATGTCTAAACGCTCCACAAAAACAGGGTCCCACCGATAATAGTCCCCCATCAACTCCATCAACTCCTCATCCAACCTCATATCCGACACCGTTCGACTGCTGCTACTTGGACCGACGTTCTCACCACTCACCGCCATAATTAAAACTCATAAAAATGACACGAAGAAATTATAAAGTGAAAAGAAGAAATTAGGGCTTACCGAACAGTGATATAAACTTTCAAAGGGTTCGAGATTTGCTGAAATATGATGAAGAAGATGAAAGAGGAGAGGCAAAATATGCAAAAGATAGTTAGAGAGACGAGCAGTTGCTTGAATGAAGATTTAGTGAAGAGAAAACGTGAACTTATCTGTATATATATGCTCGAAATTTTATAACCGTTGAAGATGGAGAGGCGCGTGATTAAGTGACGCGTCGCTTGAAGGAAGTGCCCCATTACTGTGACGTAATGCTCGGATATAATCTCGTACGTACGCGTGTCCCATAACCGTCAATATTAATATCCGGAAATTTCGGTACGTGCCCATTGAGAAGAGTATAGGGGACAACACGTTTGTGACCTCTCAAAAACCGCTCAATAAACTTCTCACAGTATGTACGACTTTGGTAAAGGAGCAAAAAGATACGATTCCTGTCTAAGGGAAATAACTCGGTATAAACTTGCGTGAGACACCCTTAGATCAGCTCGGAAACAAAAAGTGATTGGATGGAAAGTGTCATCAAAAAGTACGCATAATCTGCATACTTCTTAATGCCAGGGGCCTCTATGTTGATATCAAGATAGAATATCTTGAAATTAAGATTAGATTAAGGAAATCGTGAAGTCTAACCCGCAAACTGAATCTTGGACGATGTAAAGCAGAATATATGGCACCTCGGTAATCTCATCTCGTTACTTGTAGATGGTACTGCAAATCTTTGAAAGTCGTCAACACAAGTCGTCGAAACCTTGAAAAGACCAACTCGGTTGAAGAATAATTTATCAGGAAGTCGTGGAATGCTGAAAGTTTATCAAAATACCGACATTGCAAGACGAACCGACTTCGATCCGACAGATGTGACACCCGTCACACAGATAGAGGCGCGCCCATGGTAATCATTACCTAAAAAGTTCATCTATGTCATCGCCGCCCCTAAGATGTCAAATCTTCATTAAAACGAAAATGATTTGTCTAGGGAAGTGTGCCAAGCATAACTATAAATAGCAGCTTCGAAAACAATACGAGGATTCGGCAAAAAGTCATAAATACTCATATATTTAACTCGGTTATTTCATTGTTTACCGACTCGGCGTACATTGAAAAAAAACCGACCTCCCAGTACTGTGACTTCAAAAATCTTCAATAAAATCTCATTTTCTATAATCTTTGTGTTAATTTTTACATTGATTACGTTGATTTAATCCGTTTATCAACAGTGTCCAATAAAGGATTCGACACTTATGAAGATAAGTGAATTTCCTATGTATTTCATAGTTATTAATCCAAAGTCCTTAGCCAAGGCAGAGATGAATAGTGATTCATAACTGGGTTAATACACTTTGAAATAGAATCATAGTTATTAAGTCAATTTGGGTTTCGACAAAATCATACCCAAGACTTAATCGGGAAATTAGATGTCGAAAGGATTCTACATGTATGGAGTTGTAATTGAAATAGGTTTACTCACTATTCACTTAATACTAGATTCATGCTGTTTGCTAGGTGTTACCATGATATGTGAGTTCTAGAATTAAAGAGTTAATTCAAGAATAAGAGTTAAATAGATTTAACTCAAATTACAAAGTGTTGTAAACCCACTACTAGTATTAAGGTGAACCTAAAAGGTCACACTAATAATGAACAAAGGTAAAGATTGTATTTCTAATGGTTAGAATTAATTGACAAAAATATCTAATTTGATTAGATGTCAATTAAAGGAATATATTAATCAATAAGATTGATTAATTACATTTTGGATATTACTTTAGTAATTAAGGTAATTACTAAATTAATAAAGTTGAATTTTAAAATAGGATTTTAAATTTCAAAATCCAAAATAAATGATAATATGATTATTATAATATGGATGAAAATTGGGAAATGAATATAATAATAAAGTCTTGGAATAGATTCTCAAGATTTATTATTCAATTATTATTTATATCTTTAAATATGATTTAAGGATTAAAATAATAAATATGATTATAATAAAATGGTGGTTAATGGTTGTTTGAACCACTTAACATATCTTATTATTTTCAAAGTCAATAGTTAGTAAATACTATTTAAATAAAATCTGATTTTATTTAAATATTACTAAATATTGATTATTTTATGCTAAAATGTTTAGTATAAATAGATGTAAATGGTTTACATAAATGGCTAAGTCTTGAAAATTGATTTTGGCTAAGTTTCTAAAGTGTTAGAAAGAGAAGAAAAGTTCTTCACAAAATCAAGAAAGAGTTCTTGAAAATTCCCAAATAAAATTCATACATATTCCTATACGAGAAAACCGAGTCATTCCTACTAGCGAAGGAAGGTCGTCGGAACCGGGCTTCATAGGGTGGATACGTTTAGAGGGAAGACACTTGGATTCCTAAAGTGAGTAACCTCAATCCGTTGAAGTTATCAAACCGAGAATCGATTCCGACAATCCACATCGTCGTTGAAGGAGTTCAAGACATTCGGTAAATACTTTGTATTAGTATTTACTTTATTGTAACAAATCAAAATTTGTATATGATGCATGTTTTTAAAGATGACGATCGATAATTCGCAATTAGTATGTACGGGTGTTGTATTTATTCGATAAATACTTACTTTGAAAGATTTTAAATTCCGCTGCTTAAAGCCCGTACGGTACTAGCGAACCCAACAGTGGAGAGAAAGCACAAACAACTACTAGAGATAGCAAGAAGTCTGCTATTCCACTCAAACATGCCTTTGAAATTTTGGAGCTTAGGAGTCTCCACTGCAGCTTACATCATAAATAGATTACCAAGTTCTGCAATTGAGTGGACCACACCATTTGAAAGAGTGTATGGTAAGATGGCTGATTACAATTGGTTGAAACCTTTTGGCTGTCTAGTTTTTGCTGTGAACACTTCACCTTTCAAAGGCAAACTAGCCCCTAGAGGGCAGAAATGTGCATTTGTGGGATATGCACCAGGTTACAAGGGATACAAGCTATACAACCTTGAGGATCACAGTTGCTTTGTGTCTAGAGATGTTGAATTCTTCACAGATGTCTTTCCATACAAGGACATAACTCCTACTTTACCACATGATACCACACATGTGCCTATACCTACTGTTGCAGATTGGGAATCCTCTCATGGTGACTCTGCTGTTTTGGAGCAAGAAGATACACCCCCCACAGTTCCATCTACAAGTGTCACATCACCTGTCACACATCAGACTCAAGTGCATGAAGAGAGGGCAAGAAAACAGCCTGTGTGGATGCAAGACTATGTTAGTCATTGTACTGAGATTGTGGACCTAGACTCTTCTACTTCTGAATTTTTTGCTAATGTAGCTGAGGATCAAGAGCCATTGACCTATGAGAAGGCCAAGGGCCATGACAAATGGGAGGAAGCCATGAGCACAGAACTAGCAGCTCTAGAGAAGAACAAGACATGGAACTTATGTTTTCTTCCACCTGGCAGAAAAGCTATTGGTTCCAAGTGGATATATAAGATTAAAAGGAAAGCCAATGGGGAGGTAGATCGATACAAAGCTCGGTTGGTTGCAAAGGGGTACAACCAAGTGGAGGGGAGAGATTATTTCGAAGTATTTTCCCCTATGGCTAAACTTGTCACAGTTAGAATGCTCATTGCCATGGCTGTCATGAAGGATTGGGAACTTTGGCATTTAGATGTCAATAATGCATTCTTGCATGGCCATCTTAATGAGGAAGTTTACATGAAACTCCCTCAATAAGAGAGAAATTATAATTTATTATTATTATTTTTTTTCCAAATTTTCATCTCGAAATCCCAAAACAATTGGAAGTAGTCTTAAATTCAGGCCCAGCCCTAAGATCATTAGGCGGAAAATTTCAATTGAGGCGGAAAATTTATTATAAGTTGAGATACTTTCATATTTTAAGTAGTAAAATAAATAAAAAAATAAGATATTTAATCTTAATTTCTAAGCCCGCCTAGGCGGGCACTGGTCGGCCGCCTAGCGACTTCTAGAACACTGGTCATAAGTTGACCGTGGAGATTAGTTTTTTTTTTCAATTTTTTTTTCGTGTGGAGATTAGTTTTTTTTTTTCCTCAAAACGATAGACTTTATAACAAATAAACACAAAATTATAACTAGATAATAGCCCAACAGCTGAATCAACTAACTAAAAGAATCGAGTGGGAGGACAAACCATAAGGTCGCCTATAACCCACGCCAAGCAGAACACAAGACGATCTCTCACGGGAGAATATACCACCTCTCCAACGAAAGAATACCCAACTCCCAAGGTCATAATTTAATTTTTCTTGGTTTATCTTTAAGATAATATAAAGACTTTTCGTTAGATGGTAAACCAAGCCGGCTAAGTAGCAACACTTTTTCTATTTTTCATAATCCCTCTAAATCCCAAAACAGTTGGAAGTAGTCTTAAATTCAGGCCCAGCCTAAGATCATTAGGCGGAGAATTTCAATTGAGGCCCAGCCCAAATTGACCAATCACGTCCGAGGTAACCAATCCAACAAAACCCAGCTCGAATAATATATAATATCTATTGGTAAGAGTTATCTGTATTCTGTATCGAGGAAAAAATTGCGCAGGAGAACCTTCTCGAGCAGAATTAGGTGAGAATATATCTCTACAATTGACAATGGCCATCTTCCAGTTATTTTTACTATTTCAATTTGCTGATTTCTTCTGCTTTTGTTCTTCTGACTTGGATCCATTGAAAGCGAGAATCATGATACATCAACCACTGGTACCCGCCGTTGTGACAACCCCCGTTGTTGACTGCGGAGCTCCAGCTTCGTGGACCACCGATGATGACCACCTATCCCTGCCAGATGCTGAAGATTTGCGTGACGCGAAGAAGGTATTTCTCTGCTCGCTTTCTGTGTTTCTGCGAAATTTATCGCCTACAATTAATTAGGGCAAAAGAACCCTATTTTGCTGATCAAATTTGTTTTGTTTGACTTGAATGGAATGAAGCCGAGACTCGTACCTCATCTGGTTAGTTTATTTTTTTTTTTTTTTGAAAATGCTTTAACTGTTTTCCCTCCTCGTTTGGCTTGATTTGTTCATTTTTATTCGTGGTATTTTTAGCCTGAGGAAGATGAAGAACCTCGCTACCCAAAAAGAGACAAGGGAACCACAACACTTGGTATTATTTACAAGGAAGGTGTTATGGTTGGATCTGATCATTCAAATGCGAGCAACGATGGTGAGTTATTTTACTTTTGATATATCATATGTTAGTTATATGAGCAAAGAAAGTTACTTACACTCTGCTTTTGAAATTAGGTTCTGAATTTGTGGACAATGTTATTGATCTTGATTCTCATATGCTTGTCTCTGTGTCTGGTGTTGGTGAGCCTAAATCGTTTCTCAGAAATATGAAAGAGCAGGTATGTCTTTTTTTTTTTCTCTATCCTTTTAGATACTAATATGAATGGAGGAGTTATTACCACGTCCTAGATTTGTGTGTACTTTTGAATTGAGAGAAACTTGGAAGATCAATTGTATAGGTGACAAGTTTTTTATTTAAAATTCATAGAAGAGGCCACGTTATTTTTTGTGTTCTTATATGCTTATGTGGTTGCTGTTGGGAAGACTGATGTGTAGTTTGATTGAATTAAACCAGTTCCAAGCTCTGAAGGGGAGAAAATCTATTTCAGAAGTATCAGAGTGGGTGGCCAACCATCTGTCTTCACATTGTGATAAAGATCCGTCGGCTAAAATGCTAATTGCAGCGTGGGACAACGAAATCAAGGTTAGTTAGTTGCTGCCTGCTCTCTTCTAGGTTTATTAGGTTTATTTCAGTTCCTGTATGAACACGTTAGTTTTTGTTTTTGTGCAGCGTCCTGCCTTGGTTGCTGTGAATTTTGAGGGTGAGAGATTTAGAAAGCGACTGCTGGCTGGCACTGGAGCTGGTTCAAATTTTGTTCGTGGACTCTATGAACGCCGGTAAGCTCCTTTTCCTCTCAATTGCTAGTGGTTGTTGTCATTCTTATTAGTCATATTCTGATTTGGTGGTCTTTCTACATTTTAGTTTCCAGGAGATGGGTTGTGCTGAAGCTTCGGAGAATGCAGAAGAGTTGATTCGCTTTACTGTGTCTTCACTTGCCCGTTCCGCGCTTATTGGTGACGATAACGCCGAATATGGTGGTTACGTAACTGGTATGTTTGTTACTTTGCCGCCACCCCCACTCCCCCCATTAATTTACTTTCTAATGAGTGCTTGCTTGCCCCTCTTGTTTTTAAAGGGTATTACGTTGGAGCTGAAGGGGTAAAAAGGACCTTTCGTGATGTGCCTGTTGGGGTGCAGTATTTCTTCGAAGCCATAGGGGCAAAGTTCTATATATGGTGAGGACTAGGAGGACCTTCCATGATGTACCTACCTCTTGAAACGTATTTATGTGTTTTATGTTGCTTTTTGTGAATGTTGGCTTTATTGAGAAGTGAAGCATGGATTATGTTTTAGTCAAATTTTGAGTCTTCTCACTCTTTTATTCACGTATATACATTTCCCTTAAGATGGTCTTGAAACGTTTTTATGTATTTGATGTTGCTGTTTGTGAGAGTTAGCTTCATTAACCAATGAACCTTGTGCTATTATGTTTTGGTGTTTGTGAGTCTTAAATTCATTCATTGAGAAAATTGACCAAAATTACCACTTCAATGCCTTGCGCAATCTTGCAAACGTCCGTCCATCTGACTGCCGCTTTCAAGGAGGCGGCGTCTGTTATGAAGCTTACGCCGGTGTTGCCTTTCAGTTTGTGTTATGCAGTGGATAAAATACCTAGTACTCGCGTAGGTCCGGCCAGTTTGTGTTAGTACAAACAAGAATAAACAAAGCTTTGCAGTTTGCTCTGCCTTTAATTAACTTACTCTGTTTCAGTTGAAATTTCCTTGTCAGCTTAGCTTTAATACTAAATTAACTTGACACCAGGAGAAGTACTAAACTTACCTATCATAAGGGCATCTCCAAACGTAGTGTCCAAATCACCAAAAAATTCAAGTCCAAACTTGTATTGTTCAATTTTTATTGTTAACTATGACTTTAAATTCTCATAACTTGATGTATAAGCATGATAAAATTATGAAATTTTGATGACATGTCTAAGTATGAGTTGAGAATATGACTGTTAAATTTTATAATTTAAAGATGAGAAATGAATGAATTATGATAATTACAAGGCATATATGTAAAGATGAGTATATATGCAAGAATATTTATGATATGATTAAGTTGTTAAAATGAGATTATTATGATCAATTCTCATATAAGTGATGAGCAATTTGGAAAAGTTTTGTGTTTAATATGTTGAGTATATAATCTTATAAAGATTGTATTAAGTATGACATATTAATATCATGGTTAAAAGTGATGAATGAAAGATGATTATATGTTGAGTTTATTTTCACTTTCAAGTTATTTAAGTGAAAAGTGAGTATAAGTCAATATCTAAAATTTGGGAGATATGATGTATGAAGAATTAAGTATTTGATTGAGTTAAAGATCAAATTAAGTTAAGATGAGTTATAAATCATGTTGATGATGTTAAAAATTAAGCATGTCTAAGTACTCATTCAAGTATAATGTGAAATATAGTTATTTTCACATTTGAGTTATTTAAATGAAATGCTAATGATAAGCTAATATTTATGTTTATAAAGACATGATTTATATGGGGTTAAGTAATTGACCTTGAGTAAAAGTTAAATGAAAAGTTAAGTTAAGTATTAACTTGAGAAATAGCATGATTATTGAATTTCTATAAGATTTGGATAAGTTAAGAATCCTAGAATCTTATTGAGTATACGAGCATAGTACTTAGTATATATGTTTATATTTGATGTAACTTGCAGATACCGTTACCAGTACAACACTTATCGTTTTTCAAATGATTTCGAAGACAAAAGGTGGGGACCCTGAACGGGTATCACATTGAGTACGATATTGATGTCATATGGGATGAGGAGACCATCAGTTGTCTCAGAGTATATCCTAAAGTTTAAGTTTATTACGCTTGGGATGAGGAGGCATTAATTTGTTCTCAGAGATTATATCCTAAGTTCTGATGGAGGCCGCCTAAGTTGCCTAAGAAATATCCATCAGAGTGTGCACACGTATCCGATTAACTATCGGCAAGAGAAGAGAAAAGTTTAAGTTACTGATCAAAATCGGTTTATGATTATCCTTATTCGTTACTCACCCCCATGAGTTTTAGTTTCAGGTAACAGGTCGAAGATGAGGTGTGAGTAGAGCAGTGTTGGTGTGGATCGTGGATTCAGATGACGACAAGCTTTAATATGGACATTTATAACAGTCTGTATAATTAACCACGTTTTCAAGTATTTCCGCTATGCACATTAAGTATTGAATTTGCATTTTTAATAAGTTTCAGATTTCAAATATTTACCATTTTGAGAATTATGAATGTGGTATATTTAAATGCAAGTTTAAAGAAAATCTGTTTTCTTTATGTCTAGAGAAGTATTAGACAAGAGTTTAAAGATAAACGGATTTCAAGAAGATGATGTTGAGTAGCATCCAGAGTTATTCGCAAAAGATTTCAAAAGATTTATAAGAAATTTCGAAGTAAAAGATGCGAAAAAGTTACTCTGATAAGCGGGGTGTTACAAACCGTGTGCACACTCTGATGGTATAATTAAGGCAAACTGGGCCACCACCAGAACTTAGGGAAGGACAACTCGGCCTTAACCCCAAGCAGATAAAGCTCATACACATACCTGAACATGATACCAACTATTATACTCAATGTATAACCCAGACTGGGTCCCCACCCGATCTGGTTTGAAAATGCGTAAGTGCAGCTGTGCTGGTAGCTGACTCCTCAAGCTACATAAAAATATAAGCAAACAGATATACTAAGTACTATGCTCGTCATATGCTCAATAATATGCTAAGATGCTCTACTCTATCAGATAACTTAGCCGGATATAAAGGAACGCTCTAAGGGTTCGCTAAAATAATACTGAGTCCGGAATTTGAACTGATGAGCTTAACTGATCTGGTTTGGCTCGGAAAAATACTAAAATTTTGGAATAAAACTCGGACCGAAAAACTCGAACCAATACTGATGAGCTTAACTGATCTGGTTTAGCTAACTCACGAACCGGGTCGGACCGAACCGGACTGGGTCAGACCGAACCGGACTGGGTCGGACCACCGATTCACTCTGGACCGGAGGGTCATTGGCTGCTCGTTCCGGGCCTGCTGGGGCCCTGGCACGGCGCTGCGCACGAGCTGGGCGCGGACAGGCATAGCCAGGCTTGGTTGGCATGGCCTTGGCACACTGGGGCCACTCGGGTGCTGCTGGGCACGGTCGAGGTCATTGGGCGTGTTGGTGCGTCGCTGGGCACGACCGAACACGAGAGACGCGGGGCTGGCACGTACCCGGGCCAACTGCGGATGTTAGGGCGCTCCCGGGCTACCCTGGGCACGCAGGCGTGCTGCTGGGCACGTCCCGGGCCAACTGCGTGCTCGGGCATGCTACTGGGCACGTCCCGAGGCCTCTGAACACGGCTCGGGTTCAGTCGCGTGCGCTGGGGCTGCGGTGCCTCGCGTGCGCTAGACGCGGGCATGGACAGAGGCACTGCCTGGCCTCTGCCACGCGGCACGGGCACGGCACGCGCGACTGGCGCGGCTGGTGATGCTAGCCGGTCCTTTACCGAACTTCCGGCAACTATTCCGGTGACTACCAACCCAAATCAACTCAACATGATAAATGACACATAAAAATGCTAAGAATAACTCGGTTGGATTTGGAGATGGGCTTATAGGGCCGATAAGGCTTGAGGCCACACTAGGTCACCGAAATGAACATGCTAAACATATAAATTGACTTAGGGCCGAATAATCTACATAAAAAATTATTACTATTGAGGCTAGGACATTGGCTAAATACTTACATGCACATAGACGTGGTTCGGGGGTGAAAATAGCTCAAATTCACTAACCAACTTGACCGAAAATATGAACTCAAAGCATGATAATCTTTTAACAATGTCATTCTCATGATTTTTGAGGATTTTTAAGCTATGAAAAATGGCCAACTCATGCATGCATCATAAAATCCGAAATTAGGGCTCATAATTTTAAAAATTCGGAACTCCATATTATGAACATGCATGGCATCATTTCTTTACATGATAATTCCAATTTTATCATGCTTAGGCTGAGAAAAATGGAGTTTATGAGATTACCTTTCTCAAAAACCAAAATGGTGCTAATGGCCTCAACTCGGGCTCACTCGCGGCTTAAGTCCTTGGACTCGACTTGGAGCTACTTGGTTGATGGTGGTAGTCTCAAGAGACTTATAAAAATTCAAATAATGCTTGGATACTTATAAGCCTCGAGATAACTAGGCTGGAGCAGGCTGAACACGAGCACTCCTTCCACTCGGGCTCGAGGTGCGCGCGGGAATGCTCAAGACTTAGGCTCGGTTTTCTCTCAACTTCTCTCAATATACTGAATATCTCATGAAACCAAGAGCTGGACAAATGCTAAGGAGTGTCCATTATACAAGAGAGAGGGGCGGAGCAACCAAGGAAGCAAGTGAGGGGACATGAGTGGTACACCTTCTATAATCACGCGCAAGGCATGGGGGCTGACCTTGGGACTGATTCCAGTGGGTCTGGTAGCAGCATTTGGTTGACCGAGGCATGCATGGATGGTGGGGATGCTGATTATGGACATGCTTGAGGTAGTGGAGGGGACAAGACTTACACACTCCATTATAATATTAAGCCCATGCTCCACTACATCCTTAATCTCACTTTGACTTTCCTTAAACATACTTAGCCATATCTTGAGCTTAATTAACCCCTCATAACCTCCAGAATAACCGCAAGACATTGGGCCATTGGACTTGGGCCAGAAATAGGATCAGTGGTGATTCGAGAAACCGTAAAGGGACCTATATAAGGTCCAGCCTGATCCTTCTTCTTTGAAACTTTAAACATGACAGCTTTATAAGTCAACTGGCTAATCTCATTTGGCAATTCAAGCCCATCATCTTGCTGCATAATAAAAATACAATAAGAACAATAAAACTTTTCATATATGTAATTAATCAATTTAAAATTTGTAGGAAGAGTAATATGCATGCCTTCAACATGTCATTGACAACATCTTCGCACGATTTTCCTATTAGTTCTCTCGAAACCTTATCCCAACACAGAAGTTGTACAACCCCCGTGTCGTCCACGACTGAAATGTCGAGCTTGTACCTTAACAATGAAAAAAATTAAATATTGTTAAATCATATAAATATAAATGATGCTTATAAATTCTAAATTATAATTACCTAAGAAGAGCAAAAGGAATGGTGTCTTTGCAATAGCTGCACCAAAATCGATCCCCTTTTGCCTCTATTTTTCGCACACAAGTTGGGCAAGATTTGAAGAACCAATTTTGGGATATGTCAACAATGCTAACATATATCCAAAAATCTTTTTCTTGAAAAAAGTAAATAAATATAATAACTTATAAGCGCAGCCTTTTTTAGATTTAATATTTACATTAGTATTAACTATAGTATAATAAAACTTTTACCCCATTATATGCCAAAAATTCTGCTACACACTTAATTGGAGATATGCCGGACTCCAAATCATCACAAACATTATACATGAAGGGCTTCACATGTTGGATTGATGACTCACTTGGCCTTGTGTGTGAGTTGTACCTTCATATTCAATAAAAAATGAATTTCGAAAAAGAAATAAATTATTGAGTTGATATAATATAATATAAAATAATAGAAAAGTATAAAAAATAATTTCATTATCAATACCTTTCTTTGAAATCCACAATTTCGGGTACTTCCCCCATCATTAGCTTAGTA